TATCATCCCTTATTTGGGTTTCAACATTTTCCCCATTTATTCTAGGGAAGGGGAACACAACACTTGCCCTAGATCTGGTTATTTAGATGCTTCCTCCGTCTTGTATAAACTAGTCGAATTTGAGTTATGCAGACATTGAAAATACAGTTGGATGGGTTATAATAAGAGTTTGCTAGAGATATCAAATTAATAGCAGAACAGCCAGGAAAATTTTAAGATGTCACATACAATTGAATCTAATATTTTTGACAAAGTAAATATTTCTGTTACAACTATTAACTTCACCAAATAAAAGTTCCCCATTACACTAAAGAGGTCAATGTTTTAAAGCAAATGACAAAATGAAAGGAGGTCACAGGAATGAGTCAAAGTGAGAATTAATCAGTCTCTCAATAATCCAACACCAACCAACAAATCAATAATGTTTCTTAATATTTAAAATTAGGTGGATGACTACTAAACTGAAGGATTCATTTGCCAAAAAGAGAAAAACACCAGCCTGCACATTAGCTGATTACCCCAACTACAGGACCACACAACAAACAGTATCTTAATGACTACAAAAAATATGTTATGACCCTGCAGGCACCAAACCTTAAAAGTAAAATAAACAGCATTTATCATGTCCAATTAAAGTAGTGGTCACACTAACTTGCAGCTATCGAATTGGAAATAATTGACAAGAAGAACATGCAGTAGGCAACAGAGACCCAAAACAACTTCGTATAGATCCAACACAGAAGAAGAATATAAACCAGTTTAAACATCCACTTGGCTTAGTAAGAAAAACACAAGCAAATGAAACCACCTATGGAAGAAAAAAACTAGGCAAATGATCCCAAAAGTAGTTAAGATTTAGAATCTAAACTACTGCGCAAATAATAAAGTCAGAATATCAAATAACAAGGTTTTTGAACTAACAGTGGGGTCAACATGCATTTCATTGTCCAGAGGTAAATGATATAACTGGTTAGTACATGCAATCCGACTGCTTTAGGGACTTGAAAGAACTTGCATATCAAGTCAGTTTGCTTCAATTTAATTTATTGGTACCACCAAGAAAATCATGTCATGTAAAGGCATTTATATCTCTTGATTGTTATAAGTATATCTGTTAGATCAATTAATTTAAATTAAGAAATAATGGATAATGTTGGATTAATTATGTCTACAGCCACAACAAAAACATATCTAGATCTAACAGTTAAAGATACAGTCAATGCTGTAAATTGTGAAAATAATACTCCAGACTGAAAGCAACAAAATATGCCAACTTTTTTAAAAGAAAGAAGAGCAAGCTATCTTAAGACAGTAAGGTCAGAGATCAAGTATCATACTTCACCGCTTGTTCTGAAAAATGCTTCCCTGGTTGTCTTTGTCTGAGTGTGTGCAGGTCTCCTCCTGGGCAGAACTCCATCACTAGACATGAGAACTTTTCTGTTTCAAAATGGCTATATAATGTTGGGAGAAATGGATGGTCCAGGGACTGCAAAATCTCTCTTTCTGTCTGTGCACGAAGCAATTTCTTACGACTAGCTAACGACGCCTTATCCATAACTTTCATGGCAAAATAACACTTTGTTCCACACAACTCAGACAGATACACACTTCCAATATCACCACTTCCCAACTTCTTCAGCAACCGGAAGTGCCTCAAATCCAATGCCCCATCTTTAGTCCGGATAGCTTGAATGGCTTCCCATCTTGAGTCATTAGCTTTGTGGGGTTTGTTAACGCTGCTGCTCAAGCTGCTAGAAGTACTCTCCTCACTTACGTCAGTTCCTGTGCTCCCCCTACAGATGCTGCTCTTACCACTCTCAAGAAAATCTGCTCGATCACTAATTTTGGCACTTCCACTTGTTTTTGCAATACTGCTAGCCCCATCACTAACTTTGGCTGATGCTGAGCTGTCCTTAGTAGAATTCTTTCTTTCCTGATCAGCTGTCCCTTGTGAGCCTTTTGTCTCTGTAGGCATAGAACCTACTCCACTAGCTGAATTCTTAGAATTGCCCAAATATAAGTTTGAATCGAATTTATCAGCAAGTGAGTTGGAAGATCCCTTAGGTTGACTGCTCTGCGACTTTTGGGTGACAGTTGATTCTACCACAAGCTGTTTCGATACAACTTCTCGTTCTTTAGAAATCGTGGTCTCTAATTTGTTATTTTTTGGAACTTGGGAAGGTGTAGACCTGCGAGAACTCCGTTCTGTTGTCTGATTTCCAGTTGTCTTGTTCAGCTTTTCGGCTAAACTCTTGGAAGAAGGTGTCGAGGCCATAGAAATGAATATTGATACCTCAATACACTGTGCTTACCAAACCCATCACTCGGACTCCAAGCTTAAGCCATTAATCCCCTTCTTATTAGAAAAACACACCAACATAAGCTGCTCCATCAACAACATAGAAAGTTCCTAAATTGAAACAAGAAACCATAAAAACACAGCCTACCGCGTAATTACAGTCAAAAGTTCCTAAATTGGAACACGAAAATCATAAAAACACAACTCAACCGCACTATCACAGTCAAAAGTTCCAAACTTGAAGTAATAGAACTATAAAACAACAAAAGATGGCACTATTTCAAAAAGACAAAAAGAAGCAGAACTTGAAATCATTAAGCAAGGGAAAAATAGAAAGTAAAAGATCTGAACACACAAAGGGGTTGAAATGATGAAACCAAACTCCACAAGGTCAAAAATCAACATTCATTTAGTAGACAAATCCAACAAAAATCAAGCAACAGATAGCAGATCATTATTACTAAGCAACGATTAAAGGTCCAAGACACCTAATGTCTCAAACATTTACCTCAAAAACAACCAAATCCCTTTTTTTCCTCCAGGAAACAGGAACCTAAAACAAAGCAAAACATTAAAATGTAGACATTAAAGAGCACTCAAACACCACATAGAAGAAGATAAGAACAACCCCACATAGATAACAAAAAAGAAACAGAAGAAGGGTCAATGAAAGCACACAGATCTTGAGTAAAAGACCCACCTTTTTTTTTTCCAAGAAAACCCTACCAAGCAAAATCGTTAAACCCCACAAACCCCCAAATGCTAAAAACAAAGAAGGCCTAAAAGAAACCCACCCAACAAATCACTGGTCCAGTTCAAAAGTACCATAAAAAGCAGCCTAAAAATAGTACCTCAAGTCACAAAGATGAAAACTTTGAGGGTTATTTTGTTGAATAATGAACAGAAAAAAGCAATCTTTATACTGTTAGATAAAGAAAAGATAGAGAGGGGACCTAATTGTGATGAGAGAAAAAGGTTTGGGAGTGAACTAAAGGATGATTCTTGACAATTGAAGCTAAAATTAGTAGAGTCCCTATTAACAAATTGAGAACATGGGGGGTCAAAGCTAAAGTAAAGCTTTTCACGTTCAATTATTTCAATTGTATTTTGTCCCAAACACAAGTGTCTGAATCAACAAACATATGGGCCACCACCCCTCTCCAACCTGTCTCTCATTCCAAATTAAAAATACCACAAAACTAGAGATCATCAATCTCCACAAAACTAAGAGTTATTGATATTATTACTACTAGTTTTCTTATCAAAGGGTATATCGAGAACGTCTCTCAATTTCATAAAGATTGAAACTTTTAAATACACTATGCTTTAAAATGGGCAGACCAAGACACTTTCATATTTATTGCATTGTTCGAGTGAATAAGTAAAGCCTGTTTGATAAAGTTTTTGCCTTTCGTTTATTTGGATTTTAAGGCAAAAATAAGCTTAGTAAAATAACTTAAAGAATAAAAAACTAAACATAATATAACAAGTTAAATCGACTTGTCTGTTAGTTTAAAGATTTTTTCTGAACGCTTCACCACACACAATATGTTATACTATGTGGTAAAATGTTTTTTAAAATTAATTTTTATTTTATTTTTTGAACTCTTTTTACGAACGCTTGATCCATTAATCACTAGCCACACCATATTGTAGTTATTGACTTGTGAAATGGTGGCTTTCATAGAGTTGTTAACAGTCAAATCAATTAGATAAATGGTATATGGTCCAAATTAGGTGCAAAAATTAAGAAATGAGATCTAATTTTAGGTAGCAAAATTTATAAGTGAAAATGATTTGTGTTATGGATCATAGCAATTGTATTTATTAGGTCACCTCATAACAGTCTGGATTCTGATCAAAAACAGAACAAACAAATAAATATAAAATATTTTTATATATAAAATTAATAAGGAGAGAAAAAAAAAAGAGAAGAGTCACGGGTTTACTCTTAATTGCATGTGAAGAGGGAATAATGTCAAATTTTTCCTTTTTTTCCTAAATTTTTTAATGCAAATTATGTTATTATATATAATAATGATTGAATCTGGCCAAATAATTAGATATACCAAAATTTGCTTAGTATTTAAAAAAAAAATAGAACATATTAGGTTCTTACAACTAAATGATTAGAAATTTCAAGAAATTATGAGTTCAAAGTATATCATTTTATTTAAAGTTTAGTAATTTTTCGTACAGAAGGTTTACTTAGTGCTCTGCTTGACTTTTGATTTTACATTATATAAATTAGAAGACAAAAGATTCTTATACTATGTATCGAAAACATATTTATATTATCCATCCGATCGTTGATTAGTAGGTAGATGAATACTCTCATGATTAAGCAAAAGCTTTAAAAGACAAATAATACGAATCGAAAAAGAGTTTGATTATTTTTAGAATTTAGATTATAGTTGATTACCCGAATTTGAGGTACTCCACAACTATATATACAAAGAGACATGACATGACATGATTTGGTCAAATTGGTCTGACCTATGCCACTTTCAAAGCCATTGTTTATTTGAGCAATTGCATAGTTTATTGGAGGAATTGTAACATCACAAAACAACTAGACATTGTTGACCACAACTATTATATTTTTTTGCAACAAAGGAGTAATCATGTTCTTTTTCAATAATTGACCAAATGTTTCTGTAATAACAATAACTTGCAAGATTTTAGTGAAGATTCAACAACAACGACAAAAAATTCAGTGTAAGTCCAGGAATGATAAAGTAGGTAGAGAAGTTGTTTATGAAAGATCGTCAGTAGAATGAACGAATAGTGAAAAAAGAGACAACAGTAACAAACAGAAACAACAGGCTCAAATGGACTAATGAGTTCTCACATGAAATGAAACTTATCAGGCACAACTATCTCTAGCTTGGCAATTTCTGAGGCAGTCTTCACAAACGCGGAGAATTCTTCATTTTTCTGATTGACTTTCCTGGTTTGGTGTTCATCGAACCAAAAACATTCTGTCCAACATAGGACAGATCCGCGAAATTGTTATCCTAAGGAGATATGAATGAAAGTTGGTCTAGGAGATATCTGTGATATCAGCTTCCAGTTTTGTTGAATCATCTAAAACCACCTTCGAAATGATACCAGTAATGCAAACAACGCGTACATTGAGCAAATGTGTATATATGACTCGGTGATGCATATGCTGCAAACAAGCAAGAATGTGGAAATGGATCAAAAACTTTGCAGACAAGTAGTAAATGTTAAAAATTTTATGGAACCATTCATATTTCCACAAAAATTAATCCGACTCATTCATATAAAAGTACATCAGGTTTTCGACAAAATCAGAGCCGCTACAATGTCCAGTAACATCTTAGATGCATATCTTCATCAACAACCCGAAAATAGCAACACAGGAGCCACCACCAACCCGGACCTAATCCTACATAGATGTATTTCTAGCTACAACTCCATCAATTACAGTTGTTTGACCTGGATTAGACAATTTCACGTCCAATACAACCACTTAAGTAAAAGATGAAAGGCAGTGAGTAATGCAGCTTTCGAAATCTTAAATTCTATCAAGATGAGCCAATTAATGATCTGAGCCCTGAATCCAATTAGCCATTGCAGCAATGAGGTTACTTTCCACATGGAAAAACTATTCATCAACAAAGAAAAAAAGTATATTTAAATCCTATCCGAATTGCTAGAAAGGAAACATCCATTAAGAAGTTGAAAAAATATAAATTTGAGTAACATGCTAACATGAAGCTTGTTAGCTCTGTCATTTCCATTGGTTCTTTCATTTCTTAGACATACAGACTTTCCAAGCTTAACGTGCTATGACATGGCAATTTTTGGACCATAAACAACACAACTTAAATGGATCCATCGTTTACCACAAAGTCACATAATCAAGCAAATGGAAAGGAAGCAGTGAAAACCTACCAACTTTTAATGCTGATAAACATCAGGAAGGCGTAGACCCACACTTGCAGCAGATTTGCCCAGCACTTTTGTCATCTCATTTGATCTATCCACTGCAATGTTGTAAGAAAATAGCAAGTCCTGCAAAAACAAAGAAAGCCACATTTGTAAGATGTAATTATTATCATAATTCAAGATAACAAGAACGTAAGAGCCAAAGAATCATGATCGCGGAGAGAGTTTACCACACAAAAAATGTTATAGTTGAGAAAGAAAGACTTCCCATGACACCCTTTAAATTGTTTCAACATATGGTCAAGTAATAAGGAAAAGACGACTAGTTACAGCTATACATTAGGCTTATCAGAAGAAAAAAAATCTTCCGTAATATGATCGAATGTAAAATGTTAACAATGACACAATAACAAAACCTTGATCTAATCAATTGGTACAGACTCTATGTAACCCTTTATATCCTAAACAAAATCCACATTGATTCCAAGAAATTGTACGTCTAATGAGAATTTTCCTCCATATTATTTTCAGCCTACCTCATTCCCTTGTAGCATCTCCAGTTATCATAATATTGCACCACTATCTCAAGTGACTTCTTATTTTATTCTACACTGTGCCACTTCCACTCTCTACTGAATGTGATGACTTATAATCTTACCTGATACTGTGTGATTACACATACATCTTGACATCGACATTTTTGTGAGCTCTAATACTGTAGGTGCATAGGACCTTAAAGGCTAAACATTCAATCCACATAACATTGTTATCCTCACTACCTTCTGTGATACTTAAAATTCACTAGGCTATACGCCTTAACCAAGTAAATTAAAACATTACAAACCAACTAGATATGAAACATTCAATTTACATAACACTGTTGTCCTCACTCTCTTCTATGATACACACAATTCACTAGGCTACATGCCTTAACTAAGTAAATTCAAACATTATAAACAAACTAGACATTTCATATGCATACTTCTCATGTCCAAATTTATGTAACACTTCTAAAATGACTCTCAAACTAACTTTTTATTACTTTGTAACAATTGTTTTCATATATTCTTCCATTACTAACACTACTTCCCCACTTTGTGAAACTATACTGAATATGTTGTTAAATATTTTCCCACTACTAATACTATAATAACGAGTTATAACTAACTATATACATTTCATTTTAGTCAAGAACCAAAAGGTTCCGCTATGAATGGAGTCCGGGAAGGACTATTGTATGCAATCTTACCACATTTCCGCAAGAGGTTGTTTCCACACTCAAACTATAACATCCTAATCACATGACAACAATTTTACCAGTTACACAAAGCTTCCCTTCCAAATAATATAACGACACAAATATAGGGGCGGAGCTAGGTAAGACTGAGGATTACACTGTTTATACATGTATATACAACAAATGTTAAACAACTTTCGGCTTTCATAGCTTGAACTCATTAGTGAAAATCCAAAATCTGCCACCAGATGAAACCACACCAAATAAGTAATTATACATAAAAATGAAATCTTTCAGAACAACCAAAACAAACATAGTACTTAAAATAACAATACAATACAACAGGTAACAAGAAAAAGAGGGGCTACAACTTAACAAAAATCGGGGATAATTAATTAAAGAGATGAAGGTACCTTATGATGATGGATACTATTGAGAAGATAAGTATAATTTTGAGCAAGATTAATTCTTTGCTGAATAAAAGAAGAGTCTTTTGAGTATTCCAGATTTATGTTCTTCTTGAATTCTTCCCTGCTGAAATCAGTAAAATGAGATTTGTGTTCTTCCTTCCCTATATGTTTTTTCACTGCTTTCAGTAAATTTCTGTACACCATTAAAGTTGCTCTTCGACCTTCAGAAGATCCCATTTCTGCAAAATACAATTGAACTGATATTGTGAAAAATCAAAACTTTATTGGGTATTTAATGTAGTTTTTGGAAGATTCAAACAGGGTGTGAAAATGGCAAAAATGGTTCTCTATTGTTTGAGAGTAGCTAAAAAAAGTCCCTCAAGTATGTATTTGAACAATTTTGGTCCTTTTAAGTTTACTAAAATAATTTTAATCTTCGTTAGTCAAACATTTATAGAATTATATGAGAAGAAGGAAATTAGCGGAAACTCGCATTTAGAGTGTAGTTTTTGCTATTTATATTTAGTTCTTAAGTTTGGTGATGCTTCTTGATGTACAGTTTTAACTTTATTTTTAATACTTCTTGCAGTTTATTACGTGACATATTTTAGAATTTGATAGGATTTTTTTTGGGTATATAGTTAAAATAATTCATTTGTTCCTATCAAAACTAACAAAGATAAACTTGGAAAATATTTGATAGGGATTACAATTTTATCTTATTGGTAATTTTTGAAGGACCAAAATTGCTCGGTGGATTCTTGACAAACTGCATTTCAATTTCAACCAAGTCAAATTATCTCTTGAGTTTCGAATTATGTGATACTGAGATTTCTCGATTATCATAACAAATATATTTTGGCTTTTGTATTGGAAGTACAATGCTTCATTTGAATCAAGAAACAATATATTGTGCAAGAGATGTTACCAATAGTCTTTACAAGAACAAAATCCATCTTTAAAACAATGAAACCTATTCCTATCGCGCACAACTATCTCTCTCTTGACAATTTCTGAAATTACTTTGAAAGCCTCATGACAATCTTCACAAACACGAAGATTCTTCATTATTCTGATCGTTTCTCCTGGCTTTATGTTCATCAAACCGTAAACAAGAGCCAATTTTTCACTATGTCGATACACATATTTTTCTTTCTCATTTTCTTCTATGTCAAGCAGAACCACTGAAGTATTTGGTACATACCCTTTGGACTTCATTTGTTCCAACAGTTCATCCCATCTCTTAAAGATCTGCTCAGCCTGAGGATGGTTATCATCTCCAGCCACAAATTCGTGCGTTGTTCCTGCTATAGTAATTGAACTCCAACCTGGAGTTTTCTTTACTCCGCGATCCTTCATCAACTTCCTCACCATTGCTGCATCTTCCCAACGCTTAGCTTCTGCATAGATGTTAGACATGATAATGTAGTATCCATCGTTAAGAGGGTCTAGGACACCTAGTTGCCTGATAGCTTCCTCAGCCATTTTTACGTCCTTTTGAGTTCTACATCCACCAAGAAAAGAACCCCATACAACAGCATTTGGTTTTATAGGCATGCTTGTGATGAGCTCATACGCGTCTTCAAGAAGTCCTGCTCGACTCAAGAGATCAACCATACAACCATAATGCTCGATTTGAGGAGAAATGTTGTAGTCTCTACTCATGCTAGTAAAGAATTCTCGCCCCTTATTGATCAACCCCATATGGCTACAAGCATGCAAGATTCCAAGAAACGTGACCTCGTTAGGCTTCATTCCCATTTTGATCATCTCGTTAAAGAGTTCTAAGGCTTCATCCCCGTGTCCATGGATAGCTAAACCCTGGATCATGGCTGACCATGATACAATTGTTGGTTCCTTCATTTCATCGAAAACAGCTTTTGCAGCCTCTAAGCAGCCACACTTAATGTACATGTCAATCAGAGTGTTACAAATGTGAACGTTTCTCCTGAACCCGCTCTTATTTGAATACTCATGAATCCTCCTACCCAAGTCAAGTGCACCCAAATCAGCACAAGCTGCAAGAACAGCCACTACAGTTACCTCATTCGCCCTCAACCCCGTTTCTTCCATTTCTACGAAAAGTCTAATAGCCTCTTTAGCCTTCACGCAATGAACAAAACCAGTAATCATGGCTGTCCAAGACCTTAAATTTCTCTCAGGCATTTTCCCAAACAAGTCAAACGCCCCATCAACATCACCCTTCTTTGATAATTGGGTAATCATTATATTCCAAGACACAACATCTCGTTGAGGCATTTTATCGAACAGAAGGATGGCATCATCCGTTGCTCCACAAGTAGCATATAAATGAAGAAGTGCATTTAGCAAAACTAAATTCGATTGAAACCCAAGTTTCTCTATATACCCATGAACAATTCTCCCACGTAAAAGATCCCGTAACCCCACACAAGCCTTAAGAACAAACGAGCAAGTGAAACAGTCAAGACTCACATTGTAACTACGCATTTGCTGAAACAAGAAAATTGCATCAATTAAGGAACTACCTTCAGCAAGATTTCTCAAACAGCTATTCCATATAGCAACTTCTTGCTGATCAACAGAGCTGAAAATCTGTTGAGCAAAGGGGAAATCGGGAGTAAGTGCGCAAATGGAAGCTACCCGAGAAAGTGGGAGTAGTGAAAGAGGTTTATTGGTTTTGATGAGAAAGGCAACAGCTTGTTTGAGCTCGAATGGAGAAGTGAAATGGTGAAGGGTAGTAGTGGGGATTTCTGAAGTGCCATTAATGGAGTCTTTAAGTTTTGGGGAGTGAAGTGGAGATGCTAAGCAAACAGAATGCAGCATTGCCTTAGCTTCAATGTTAGCTGCTAATGAAGCATAAAAGCCTATATAGTAGTACCTTTTTGTTGTTGTTTGGCTACTTGCATTATTTTTGAAGTGTCTAAATGAAACTTCGTGAAGAATAGGCACAAGAATCCCCGAGGCAATTCCTCATCACCATTCACCACAGCTTATCCAATGATTTTTACTTTATATATAAATCAAGTTTGAAACATCCTCTCTCCAATTGGAAGTTCTAAAAGAATCAAACCATATAGTATGCTTATCGAAAAATCAATAACCACAGGGCGTAAACTGCTTCATGCTTCCTGAAGTTAGTCCTTCATACTGTGGAATCTGATGTATCGAATACAACACATAGAGGCGTCGACGATACAAAGATTATGTAAAGAAAAAAAATGAATTGACACGCTGGGACAAAATGAATGCTGCAAACTCATCAAACTCGAACTCATTATGAAAACCAGTAACTACATTCAGATGTTATTCGAAATGTATAGGGCAATGTGTGTTACAATAAAAACTATCATAAAGCTCATTACAGAAGCTAGTAACTACATTTAGCGTTTACATGAAATGTGAAAACCTCAATAGTCAGGGATTGCAGTAAATCGATAACCTTGAGCACCTCTCCAAGAGTAATATGCAATACGCGTCTCATAGAAACCTGTTGAGTAATTACCAAAGTTAACGTTGATAATTGGAAGTTGCCTAATTAACTTACTAATGTAAAAATGAATATGAAACTTGAATGAAGAACTCAATATGAAACCAGCGGCATAGGCAGTATTAGACTCAAGAATGTCTAAACAAAACAGAGAAAATATGACTTGAAGTAGAATCTATTGCCTATTGCCTATTCCAGAAGTTTACAACATGTAATGCAAGTCCCAAGAGATCGATTAAAGAAGACCATTTTCAAGTGCAGATCTACAATCACCTAGATATGGTGCTTATAGCAACTACAAAGAGGACAGATACGGTAACAAGTAGCTCAGCCATTTGCTATCTCACCTATTTATTGTGCTGCAAATTCAATGTAAAGTTACCTTGTTAACACAAACTGATAATCACGCAGTCAAATAAATGGCATAGCCGCAAATTGATTCTGGACTTAATGAATTACTACACTCTCCTCGAGGATATCTTGAACAATAATGGACAAAAGTTTTGCAGCTTAAGCATCCAAAGCAGTATAAATTGATGTATGTTTTTGACTTACCAGGGAGAAAAGTGAGGATTCCGAGTCCAAGGAGACCATATGCCTGGGAACTCTCTCCTTCCATATGACCAGATAAGATGAAGTAGGATAGTAAGAGAAGCAAACATCCCAGAAAGAGCAGAAAAAGAGCAAGGGCAATGGACTTCCAGGGGATTCTATCTAACGATTTTGGTGAATAATCAAATCTAGGGTCAGCTCGCTTGCCAGAATATCCATAATAGTCGTCATCATCATCCACAGCGAGACGACTGTAATTAATATTCCGCCTAGAAGCCATACACTAGAATTCCCAGTCTTTGAATTGGAATAGATGTCTGCAAATTTGTCAGATGATCACTCTGAATAAGGCAGCTCAGAAGAACACCAATCAATTATGAACACAATGATCTGACTACCAGAACATACAATAAGTTGGCAAAGTAAGGTATAGTTTAAAATTTTAATACAACTACAAAGAATAGGTGGATAAATACAAATGACAAATAGGTGAAACACTATAACTACAGTCTACATTGTTACAAAAGTATATTACAATGTATCAGTTTTTCATGTATTACGACACACGCGAGAGTTGATAACCTTTAATCTGTCACTAACACACTCATGACATGTCTGCTCTATTTATTAGAGAAATACAAAAGAAAAATCGCTTCTGGAACCTTTTTTGTTTATAAGGTTTACAAAAGTGTCTTGGAAAGATATTCTTGAGTCAGAAATTTGGTGGTTTTGGCGATCAGCGTATCCCAAAGCTCAAAAAATAAACCAAAACATTAAATGTTATCGTCACCAAATCCTTTTTCTGAAGGATCATCAAATTTTCTAATCACCCAATTGAGGATTTAGTGAGACCTTTACATGGCTTCTACATTAGCGCTTATAATTTGAAAAGTATACGAGATTCATAAAACTCATTGACCATTTTGTGAAGTTCTACAAGTGGCATATTCTTATAAATTTGATACTCAAAAGCACTAAATTAAGACAGTATCACACCAATTCAATCATAAACAGCCTATTTATGAATTGTATCATAAGGAGAACTTTTCAAATAGCATTGTCCTGATCTCCTTGCCTTTTTTTGTGCAAATTGGCTGGAAAGGCAAATACGGCCTTCTAACAATGAAGAATTGTCTCTTATTAACTTTGACACACTTGTAAAGAGAGCACTTTTTCTCTTTAGAGAAACTATGTCAATCAGAAAAACAATGGTCAAGAGAACATTTTTGTTTGGTAAGATGCCAATCCAAATTAGCGTGGTGAAATCATATGTCCTCCAGATATCCTAATGTATAGTCGACTGTCTCAATTGACACTATCGCTTTACCTCTGTTTTGAAAGACTTTTTCCAATAAATCAACAGCATCTACATCCCCTTGATACTACTTAACAAAGAATAGAACCACGGGAGAGTCGTCTTTGCCCAAGTGTGAGCTGCAGATGACTGACTTTGGAAGCGGAACAGTCAGTGAAGTATCAAACTGTTCTACCTTTGCACAGTCTCGGTTGCATGAATGTATAGATCAAGGTAAAGGTAGGGGCAACATCTGCATATATCCTACCTTCCCCAGATCCTACTTGTGGAATTGCACCAGGTATTCGTTGTTGTTTAGACTATCATAATTCTTTAGTGGCTTTTTAAATCATGCAAATTCTTTTGAGTGTTTTCTAAGGAACATCAAAATCAAACAATCAGAAATTCCAGATGCCATTTCTTTCAATCAAGTAAAAGAACCATTTTTGGCCAAACCAATATCAATACTCATCAGAGATCAAATCACATATGAATCCAACTCAATCAATAAACCTACAGGCTACACCTACCAAAAACAGGATGCATATACAAACATATAAATCAATAAAACATTCTGCTGATTCGAAAAACCTCACACTAACCTTGATGAGAAAGAAAGCTCAAATTCACCTAACAAGGTGACCGGAACACCGACGGAAGCTGACCGGCGACGATTACAGTAGACCCGAGAAATAGCGCCCAATTTTGACCCGATACTGCAATATCTCTTTGCTTCTTAATCCTTGGTATAATTTTCCTGTTGCTTTCTAGTGATACTATATAATTAGTTAATTTCTTAATTTCACATTTATATTATCTTAAAAATTTAATACTACATCGATATAGAATTGAGAGTAAATTATAGTACTAAATCATGTATTTTGCACCTTTCATATCACCGTAAAAAAAGAAAATTTTCACATATAATCATTTAAAAATAATTAATTATTTTTCATAGCTATAGTTTGATAATTTCAATTTTAGCTATATGTTATATGGAGGAGATACGCGAGCGAGACTGGGAGAGAGAGGAGGGAGGGAAAAGAGTGAGAGAAAGGTGAATTGTATATGTATATTGGTTTTTTTTTTTTTTTTTTTTGTATATTGGTTAGATAATTGTATATTATACATATGTATTTATATATATGACAAGAGAGATCGGGAGATGGAGGAGAGAGGCGAGCGAGATTGGGAGAGGAAGGAGAGAGGTGAGCGAGAGAGTGGGAGAGGGAGGAGAGAGGTGAGCAAAAGAGTGGGAGAGAGGTGAATTGTATATGTATATAATTGTATATTATACATATACATTTGTATAAATGAAAAGCGAGATTGGAAGAGGAAGAAGAGAGGGAATTGAAATTGAGAGAAAGAGGAGAAAGGCGAGCGAGAGAGTGGGAGAGAGGTGAATTGTATATGTATATAGGTTAAATAATGACATATTATACATATGTATTTATATATCTTGGCGAATTATATATATACAAATGTGACTAATTATACAAACTCGAAGTCAGTCCACATAATTGACGTATAATGTTAGTCGCGAGTGGTAACTATAGCAAACTATAGCTACGATGAATAATTAAATAGTCCAAATTTATTTAGCCACATAATTTTCCCTAAAAAATACAAAATTTGGGATGCTTATCTTATTCAGTTCATTCTTAAATATGTCAATTTAAATCATTATCGATTTATAATTATATATTAAACCGTTAAGATATCAATTATTAATTGTTGCTGATTTAATTATTAATTTACAAGTTATTTTAAAATGTTATTATTAGATATTTCTTGTATAAATAAGTATTTTTAAATAACACAATATATAAACACGTTTTTTTTTAAAATTTGATGTCATCTTATATCTACATTATTCAATTTTATGTGGATATAAGTATAAACTTAAACTTATATGCAATTAAGCAAATAGACGTATACTTCCTACTTAGTATGTTACGTAACAATGCATGTCTTACACGTCATTCAACGTGGTGTTCTCCATCTAATATGCTAAATATGATATGTGTATCTAATTTTTTCAAATCAAAGAGCTTATATAGCTATAAAATCAAATTTAAAAGTATATTTACGTATCATATCTTTAAACATTATTCGTCAAGAGACGGACCTCGAAAAAAATATAGTGATATACTCTCTCTGCCCGGTATTGTTTGTCATGGTTTCTATTTTTAGAATCAAACTATAAAAATTTTAACTAACACTTTAAGATGCATTTTTTCATCATATTAATATGAAAAAATTATAATTTATAGTTCTTTTCATATAATTTTTAGAATACATAATTTTTTTGTTTAAAATATTAAATTAATGTAATCTAATTTACCTTTGAAAATTAATCAAATTGACTTTAGAGATAAACGCGAGACAATCGTATCGAGGGTGTGTGTCAGGGTCTAAAACACATTTCGAATCAAAGTGAATAATATTTAAATAATATATACATTGAGAAAAATATATTATCTGAAAAGTAAACTTGCAATCATTTGTGTTTTTCTCCTAATGATTTCAATTGTGCATGATCTAATTTTGTAATCTCTCCCATCTCGTTGACACCATGAGCACCGGCGTTTCGAGAGTTATAATTCCGAGCAATGTTCGGAAAACGATCGACGATATAAAGGAGATTGCCGCCGGCAAGCACACCGATGAAGACATTTACGCAATGCTCAAGGAATGCAATATGGATCCCAATGACACCGCTCAGAAGCTTTTATATCTGGGTAATTGTGACCTTAATCACCAATTTATATAATTATTTAGCTTGTTTATTGATACAAAATAGTAGTTAACAATCATCCAAACAAAGCTTGATTTGATGTTTGTGCGTTCACAAACATTTTGATTTGATGCTTGTATGTTTCACAAACTTTTTTAATATGATGATCTTGGTGTTTGGGCTAGCTCGCATAATACTCTACTAATTCGTTGGGATACCTTTCATCTCCTACCAGCAATAACAGGTATAAGGTAACTTTGTCTACCAAAGCTAGGACGACTGGAAGAATTAATCATTTTATGAGTTTTTGTCTAATTTTGTGAATATCTGGTCAATTTTGCTAATTGTGGTTTCATCGGTATACTCATGGTACTGCAGGAAGAATAGGAAGCAAATACTTTTGATTGTTTTTGTTTTCGTTTTCAATCTTTTTTATGCTTTAGAGTAGGGTACTTTGTCTATGCTTAGAACTCTCCTGTCAGTATATGTTTATATGGAAACTCGGAGTATATTTTGTTCTAAAAAAACTATCTAATTCTGCAGATACTTTTCATGAGGTGAAAAGGAAACGAGACAGAAAGAAAACTGTAAGCGTTTCTCCTAATGATTATGTTGATTCAGACTAGGATTATTCAGGGGATTACAGCTAGTAATATGGGGATAGTCGTTATAGATATCATTACAAAAATTTCACTTCGCTTGATCATTCATTGTTCCACCATCTGGTTATCACAGAAAGGCAGCAGCCAAACTTTTGACGATTACAGGTGGATGTCAGGCATGCAGAGAAGGGCTAGGGATGGTCGTGAGATAATTTCTGCAAATTACATCACTGATAGTAAATATGGGGCTTCAACCGGGGGTAAGATAAACTCACCTACTTTTCTTGAGTATCCAGAATGTTGTGTATTAGCTTTACTCTTTTGAGTCTTTGAGCATACATTTCAAGAATAATTGAGCAACTTTCATGAGCAAAGAAAAGAGTCATCCTCCTTGGTAGTTGGATGCTGGCTGGTCAACTCCTGCCTTCATGTGCAATATTTTGATTTATGTACTGTTTCTTATCACTTATGCAACATAGCATCTGTTGGAATCTGGAAGAGTATTTCATATTGATAGAGGGAGATGTATTTTCTATATTTATGGCTTGCAATGTGAACTTACCCTCTTTCTTTATTGTCGACAGATGTCAGTGGCAGAAGATACATTAAGAAAGAAAATGGAGTCAATAATTCGAAGGATAGAATTTCTAAGGTCTCCAAGCCACCTGCACGTAAAACAGAAGATGCTAGTATACATCCTAGCAAAGAATTTGCTGTTGAGGTTGCTGGAGATGATCCTGGTCATGTCAGTAGAGTTACTTCGTTTGTTAATGTTAATAAGTTGGCAAAAGTTTCAACTATACCTCCTAATTTAATAAATCGTCATCTGAACTTGGATCCTGGCCCCACTCCTACCCCCACCCCCACCTTTACACCTGGAACCAGATTTAAAGATAAAGTTTTCATATCAATACCTCATGAGCTTGTGAAAAGCACAACTTCAGCATCAGTTTCTGGTGTCTACTCTTCTTCATCGGATCCTGTGCTAGTGCCAGCCTTGAACCCACGAAATCCAGGAACAGTTGGTACGATAAAACGTGAGATAGGTAACCAGCGCACTGTTACCGACTCCACTGTGTCTCCTGCGAATGAGGGAACATCAGATGCTTGTCAAGATGCTCCCCAAAATACTAATGCAGTCACTAGAACTGTAAACTACATAAACACAACAGGGCCAAAAGAATCCTGGGGAGTCTCAGTCACTGCCATACAACCAGTTGTAATTAATCATGAAAGTCAGCATTCCAAAAAAGATAAAGGTCATTCAGGAGGTACCACTTCGATTTATATACTCTCCTTTAGTTTGTTTTATCTTTTCTGCAAGTCTGAATTTAAGGGGGACACAACCTCCTTCAATTAAGTAATGTGGATGGATTTCTTGTAAACTATTTCAATTGCTCAATGTCAAAGGCCAAAGTATTATTGTTGATGTGGTTTTCGAGATATACAAGAGAAAAATAGCTGGCTCTATTTTACAAGTCCATTTCACTGCCATCAATTCATGATGTGGATAACTGCTTACTGGCTTTGTCGTCTGTTGAATCATTGAATATGGTTGGCTTTCTATAAAATCAGATATTAATAGCATTACCATCATGAGCTTACCGTGTGTTTCATTTGAGCAGGAGAGAAAGGAAAACTCTTGTGATTCACACTTTCTTCTTTTACTTTTCCATTCTTGGTAATCTCACTTTATATTATAATCTTGATGCAGTATTGCCATCTCAGGCAGCAGCTGTTGCAAAGGGAGACAATTTACCATCAGTTTCTAAACCTAATTCTTCTGTGGAACAAGCAGTTCCACAGCTTGACATGAAGTTAGAGAAGTTAAATGTCTCTGCCCCTTCTCAACCTGTTATTTTTCCGAATAATCTTCAAGTACCTGAATCTTTTAGGAGCGGACTGACTTTTGGTAGTTTGGATCCTCAATTGGATCAAAGCATAAGCTGTGGCAAAGACTCGATGCCTGTGGAGACTGTTCCAGCTAATGATACTACTTCCATGGAACTTGGGAGGTAGGTAATCGAGTGACATATAATGTCTTGTATTCATTTGTGATTTTATATATCTAAATGTATCTCTACTGAAGTATTTTTGCTGATTCGTTGTTGTCTGTGAGCATGTCAAAATATTTTTGTAATCATGTATTAACATTCTGATGAAGATTCCATGACCAATTGCCTCTGGACTGTCGAGTTCCTTTTTTTAGCTTATAGTAACACTAGGATGGCCATGTCATTATGCTTTCCTGATCTGATCTGTAACACAGTAACTGTTTATTGGGTAATCTTTTCTTTATATCTTATACTTGACCTCTCATCACCATATAAAACTACTGCAGCTACAAAGATGCATCTTCAGCAGCTCAGAGAGGTGATTATCCTGACAATCTACTGTCGCACCAAAATGGATCTGAAAATATATCACCTTTTGAAGTATCTGGTGCTTCTCATGTGTATGATCCGTCAAAGCTGGAGAAATGTCCACTTTCTGCAGGCTCACAATCGCCACTTCTCCAGACTCCTCCTGATTATAGCTTGGGTTTTGTACCACCCATGCTTGGGCCCCATCTGGTGTGTCTTGAGGGACCAGAACAGCAGGCATGTCATTATGTCCCTAAAATATCTCTACTTCGCATAGTTCATTAGAAACACTTTCTTTTCCCTTGCTCAAGTCTGTGCTGTCAAAATGAATATTTAGTCAGTTTCCTCTTACATAAGACAATGCTAACTGTGTAAACAATTTGAATGGGAAGATCATGTAGTATTGGCTATTGAAGGATTACTTTAAGATAGAACA